GGGGAGATTTTTCGTGTCTGTATGTGTAAATTGAAAGCTTCGGGAAGTTACTGGACTGACCAACAAAATAGTTGCTTCCAGTAAACCACAATGGGTATTTACCACCTGGTGGAGGTATTGGTAAGCAGATTTTTTTTTTAACTTTAGACAGAGCCGATTAGCCGGTCTTTTCCATGTTTAGGGGTTAGTTAGCACCTTTTCATGTGGCCCACTGTCTGAAGTTTTTGTACTCAGCATGCGCTGGTTACCATCAAAGTTCTCCAGGTTGATCCTCAGAGAATAATTCCCTGCACAGAAAAAACAAAACATGTATAAATCAAAACAACAAAATATTATTGTTTTGTTTGTTTGTTTGTTTGGCCACTTGAGGGCATCCAAACAAGTTGCAACCAACATCGCTGAACATTTAACTGACCATTAATATTAACTTGGGGTTACGTTTTTGGCCTCATAATTGTAAGTCCAATATTATTATTTCTCCTAGTTCATTCCCTGCTTGTTGCTGGAAATGAAGGCTGATGAAGGCAGTGAGATTTAAATATAAAGTTTTTATAGGCGTATTGACCTTGTGTGGTGATGTTAATGCAGGTTGATCAATTTCCAAGCCAAAATTTGCATCCATGTCTCCCAAAACCATCCTTATACTCTGCCACGGACCTGATAGATAGATAGATAATAGATAAGATAGATAGATATGATAGATAGATAGATAATAGATAAGATAGATAATAGGCAGAATTTTGGCTTGGAAATGACAACCTGCATTACATCACCACACAAGGTCAATACCGCCTATAAAAAACATTTATATTAAATCTCACTGCCTTCATCAGCCTCATTTCCAGCCACAGCAGGAAGAACTAGGAGAATAATGAATATTGGACTTACAATTATGAGGCCAAAAACGTAACCCCAAGTTAATATTAATGGTCAGTTAAATGTTCAGCGATGTTGGTTGCAACTTGTTTGGATGCCCTCAAGTGGCCAAACAAACAAACAAACAAAACAATAATATTTTGTTGTTTTGATTTATACATGTTTTGTTTTTTCTGTGCAGGGAATTATTCTCTGAGGATCAACCTGGAGGACTTTGATGGTAACCAGCGCTATGCTGAGTACAAAAACTTCAAAGTGGCCAATGAAAAGGTGCTAACTAACCCCTAAAATGAAAAAGACCGGCTAATCTGGCTCTGTCTAAAGTTAAAAAAAATCTGCCTACCAATACCTCCA